TGGGTATACTTTGTATGCTATGGGGCGTGTATGGTGATGTATGCCTGAAAGCCACGAGAAGAGATCACATATACCTTGAGGAAATATAGAAGACACATAAAATGGTCTTTAATTTATTTCTGAAATGAAACAGTAACAAAGATGAAATTATCTAATGAAGATAGTGCAGTGATCGAAACTAGGATTGAAAGAGTGGGCATCTAAATGTCTGACATGACTGCACTTAGTTTTTGCGCTCTTCGAGTCCGATGTAATTTTCCTGCTATCACAAAACCATAACAAAATATCTGATATTCACAGTCATACCATGTTTGAATCATTGTGCTGTATTTGTTGCTGTCTCGATCAATTACTCCCTTCCTTGTTGCTTCAAACGCAACATACACACACCCATCTTATTGCAAAAACAAGACTGTCGTATAGTGAGCTGCAAAACCGTGAATTTTAATTCCGAGACAGTCAAGGGTAACCTTGTGATATGTGCAACGTTGATCACTCAACTCAAACATCAAAACTGGATCTCCAAATAAATAATCAGATTTATCTAGGTATATATATACATTCCTGGACGTACCATAAAAATAGTAGGTGATCTACTGGGACATTAAAACGCGCCTGATTTATTTTCGGATCTCAGATTATTCAGTATATTTGACGTACAGAAGGCCAACTATGACAAATAGTACAAATTCAAAAGAAGCAGATTTAACATGGAGTGCTGCAACTAATTCCTCAATATGCGTAGTACTTCTGACTTCGTTCCTTAGTTCATTCAATACAAATCCATCCAAACGCATAGCATTTGCAGTATGAACTATCAGAAAGGAGCTAAAAACTTCAGAAACTTCTTAGCGAAATTGATTGTGTTTTCTGGATTATCATTTTTATTGTTTAGCGATGGAGCAAGAGAGTCGGAAATTTGGCAGGCAGTGGTTGGGCGAAAAGACATGAGAGGATAATACATAGTATAAAATAGACTAAATGTTTTAGTGAAAATGCCAGGTGATAAGTTAGATTCGGACAACTACTCAGTCCACGTTTACAATACATGGCTCAGCGTATATAAGCACTGTAACAACCGAACTGCTAATATTCGGTTTGAAGGCAGGACTGACGAACCAAAATTTCCTCGAATAGACCAGACTGCGTTCTTCTGTATAGCGTAAGAGGCATTTTTGAGGTACTCGTATTAAATTATAACAAAACACAAACTCTGTGCTCAATTTAAACGGTTTTAATTTAGGAAATAGAACAAATTATATCAAAAATACAAAATACTTCAAACGGTACAGCCTGTGCTACACAGTCAGAAGTTTCTCTAACGCAAAGTAGCGTGCTAAACAACAAAAGAACCAGTTAATACAAAAGAGTTCAATACCTGTGAATCAATAAAAATATTCCCAACAAGATGGGATCAGATATCTATCTGCAGGGATTCCAGTGATCTTCTCAAGCAGACAGTCAAAGTTAACAGTCACACACTGATCCACGCCGTGACCTTGAGCTTAGTCAAACGCGACCTTATTGTCAATAGTCCGGCAACATGCAATAGAAAATTAGGTAACAAAAGATAAGTTTTTGATCAAAATCACATTGTAAAAGCTGAGACGAGGAAGACCGAAGAACACAAAGTGTGGTCAAAAGAAGTCTGAACAAAAGTTAAAATGCACGAAAGGGAGAAGAAACAAATAAATGACGGCACTGTCTAACAAAATGCTGTGGGAGGATTTCCAGCGCCCTCTTTCCGTTAAAACTATTGTCAGGGATTGTCTACTCACTGTCTTCTCATGTCTGGAGTATTGCTTGCGGAATTCATATGACGAAATTCGAATGTCGGGCACTTTAACCGGGTTGGTGGAAACGAAGGATCCAACCACAGGAGTTGGCACACCCTAATTCCGAACCAAGTGTGCACGTGTGCTCTAGGATTCTGGGAGAACAAATGGCGTATAAATCTATTGTTCGTTACCGACTACCATGGGACCGCAGCCTCTAACGTCGCCCCACTGCCTTGTGGATTAGACCCTCTAATCGAAGGATCGAGGAGTACCACCTTAAGAGAACAACCTGATTTGGTCTAAGCACCCGGGTAGTATCCCAGTCCACACACAAATCAAATGATAATTATTAATGGAACAATTGCTCTTTCTTCAACTCACATCCAGACACGTCATATTCACAATCATTTGATAACATTCGTTTTTATTTATTTTATACTATTCCGCTTATCTACCCCCTTTTATCCTTATTTGGTGTATTTTACTCTACAGTTCAACATATACAGCAACTGGTCTTTAGTGGAAACCCTGCACTACATAAACGATCTTCAGTCACTGACTAGTCGGAGGTTGAATGCTACCACCGACTGAAATTAGTGAAACAATATTTCCGAAATCACGTATATCATTCAAACTATCCTCCTCCAACATTCGCACGCTAATGCGGATCCGACAACACATAGGGTTGGCTATGTCTTTAGAAAGTCTCAACACTGGCGTCTGTTATCTATCCCACACCCATATTCATGTCTCAAGTGTAGTACAGTAGTGGCATCGGACCCTAACCATACAATCATCAAAGCTGAATACGAGACAACTGGGAAAATAGATACTCCTCATTTAACGCGGAGACAAACACAACGATGGAGAAGGCGGGAAGAATGAATCCAATTAGTTCGAATTGATGGGATGGCATAGTTCGGCATTGCAGGCGTGAAGCACTTATGCAACAGTCTCTTAGCTATAATAAATATATTGTTCTTTCTCCAGCCTAAATGTGTTCTTCGCCATATACTGATGATTGTCACAATACGAGTGAGTCAGGATAGAAAATGATGTGACATCCACGTAAAGTCTTGTGGATTAGGCAGTTACGTCATAGCAAACCTACAATTTTAGGACCGCGTCTACTATTAGAGCAGTACGAATTTCGAAGTGGACCATAATTCTACAGTACTACAATTCACTATCAATCCTTCACTTCAGAAAGCCCGTTTCACGTGTGTTTGTCCGGCGACCCTGCTCCACCTTCATCTGGTATCGCCGCCTTCGGTGTTGCATCAGAGCTTAGGCAGCACTGGTCGACTGGATACTTATCAATAGTGGGTCATTTTCTGTAAGGTCAGAAGGTTCCATCAGAGTGGTAAGAAATCGATGTGAAAAACTATGTCTTCTCGCCATCTTCGCCTATCCCCATATCGATTGATCCCAAATATGATCAAGGATGAGTTTTATCACCAGTTGACTACTCTTCTACAGAACGTGCGTCCGATCGGTATTGTGGTACTGACCGGAGACTTGAATAGGCGTGTCTGACGTCTGGGCACGGAGGACAGTCGTTTGGGTGGCCGATAGGAACCTGTTGGTCGCAAGTCGGATGACGATGACCGTCTACTGCAACTGTGCGCAGGATACAGCCTGTCAGTTGCTAGCACTAACTGTGAGCACAGTCATCACCGGTGTACTACCTGACGCCCTCCCTTGACATTTCAAACCTGGACTCAGATAGATCACATCGCGATTTAGCTGCCGTTGTGTGTTTGTGTACAAAATTGCCACTCGTTTTGGCGTAACTATCTAAACTCTGATCGCGCCCTTGTGTTACGCTGATTTTACGTTTTTAGTTCCCGTTCTGGTGAACGATGTATTGATTATTTCCTAGCCCTCCGCCAAATGTCAGAACACCGTCATAATTATTGCAAGTCAAGAGTCGAAGAGTATTTTTGGCATTAGGCCCGCCTTAGATTCGTTGTACACGCAGTGAAAACCAATTGATAAGGTTTAATACGAAAATTCATAACAGGTTATGCTTCTTTAGTCGGTCTCAACAATGTTAGATTGGTGTCTATGAAAACTGTTTCTATTGTGAAAGTAGCTGGTTGATGCTAAGGACTACTGAAGAATATATCTGGACTAGGAGTGAGTTGAAAGAAGTAACGTAGTGATGACCATGTATAGGTATAGGTTCTAACCTCACAGTCCTCATAGCTGGACATGAGATAACTGAGAACGCGCGGACAATCAATCAACTCAATTAGATGGCATGACTCCGCCTTGCAGACATGGTCATTTTTGTGCAACTTATTTTATCCATATTAAACACGTTGGTCTATTTCCAGTTCAAATGTGTTCTTTAAAAACGTTAAATATTATATTGCTGATTTTACTATACGACGAGTCAACATAGACAATGGTGTGACTTCCATGTAAGATCTTGTATTTTACGATTCCACATCACGACAAATCTAAGAGTTAAGTATGAGATCTATTGTCATAATAGTAATGATAACGAACTAGACCATAATTATACAACCAAACCAGAATGTTGGGGCGGTATCAAACCTATCACATATTCCTGTCTTCACCATTTCAAGTGTATTGTTTTTTAAATCCAACAACACTACAAAGTCACTCCTATCCGAGGTTCTGGTGCGTTTACCCACAGTGTAGTAAGACTACGACAAGTGAATTACCATGGGAGAAGCATAAGGGTCTTTAGTCAGCAGTCGTATCAATCACCAGAAATATATCCAAGTCACAAAATACAAGCTGCTTTCAACTCCATCCTCTAACACATCACCTATTGAATAAATCACTTATTTAGTTTTGAAGCAATCATCTCTTAGGCCTTGAATTATCACATCAAATGGTTCTGGATGGAATGGAAGAAGCTTTCATTTGACGAGCATCGTATCTAGTAGCAGTGGTCCACCGATTGAACACTACTAAATACCTGGATTCGTGCCCGAAACAACAATATGTGAGCGTAGAGAAACCAATCGGTGTATATAAGATCGTGACGAATACACTGGATATTGGAAATTAGACTGCGCGGTAACAGATCCAACCTTGACACAATAACACTAAGCCTTACCAACAATTTCACTATTTGGATCAGCCAATGGAGACAAGACTGGCCCCATCCACCCACAACATCACTGGCTATAAATATCGAGCTGTAATTGTCTCGTTAATTATCTTGCCTAGCCGAGTTCAGTCGGAATGTCTAAAGTTAAGGTAAGTTATATCTTTTGGATACTACGTTATTTGATACATAGTATCTTTGCACTTGGTCCAGTATAATATACGGTGCTTATAGGTTAAGCCAAAAGTAATGTTGTTAGTTTTGGCGAATATCTGTCGTTTATATGAATGTCATTCAGAAAGTGACCCTTGGTCGGTTATTTTTTTGTTAACATTAAATTTAACCACGTAAATGCATTATTCTTGTCAACAATGTCAAATCCAGCTTTTGACACGAATCAGGGGTCACTATGCGCTTTCTCAAGCTACGTATTTATCACATTCTAACTATCTTATGACATAAGTAGACTTTTATTAAGATCTGAGTGTATATATTCCCACTAGACACGTATTCAGCCTAAAACGTTTTCTCGAAATTAAGTGAAAATTAGACTAATTTCGAAGAGAAGGACGCACTAAAAGTTATATAATTAAGTCGGTCCTTCTACAGCTTGCGCGGTTGACGTAGACTAACTCTGTCTGACTCTGTATATTTCTAAAATAACTGCCCACCCATATTTCGCTTATGACGATTTAGTTTTGTTTAAAATTGTCTACGCTCCCATCAATAGTCACCAACAGCAAGTATTTTGATATATGTTCAAGTGTACGGTTTTCGATCATATCCCGTTTGAATTCATTGATTCGAAAATGCTTCTTTTAAAGACTCGAAAGTCAGAAATCAAACTATCTGAGCTTATGTACTTTCTCCTTGTACCGAGTCCTTAACCATTGATACTCAACACTTGATACTATCAGAAGGAAATTGGACTTCTACGACACTGCAAATCGCATAGCTTAATCTCTACCTCCTAAAGCCTCCTACCAGTAAAAAATAAGAATTACACTCTGAGATTCTTGTATATATAAAGGTGTATGCACTTGACAATTGATCAGTTCAAAACCGATTGTTTCTACCCTGTTCATCTATACAGAAACATGACTTTATTAATTGTCCGCTTTACTTATCCCATTGTATTGGCTTACTAAGTGGAAGCTAACACAAAACTAGCAATTAAGACCTAACGTCATTGTGGTTCAGGACAAACTCGAAAAGTGAAATTAGTATCGCTTTTACGGAGTGTAAAGTTTTGGGAATCTCTAATCTCACTATGTAATGTATAGTATATTAGAAAAAGTTGTGGATTTTAAGCGGTGACATATGAACTAGACAATCCAAGTTTCATCCATTAAGTTGTAGATGTAAGGTTTACAGTTGTTCAGTCTAAATTAAATGTATTGATTCGAGTTTTAAGCACTTTTAGTCTATATAAAATGTAATTATTCGTACTTCTTTGCATATTAGGTTGGAATTATTGGGGGTTCTGGATTCGATGACCCAAATTTATTCAAAAAAGTAGGAGTGCGACAAGTGACTACTCCGTTTGGAAAGCCGTCAGATGCTCTTATCGAAGGTTTTGTTGGAGATGTTGCATGTGTTGTGCTTCCCAGGTAACCATTGTTAGTAAAAATGGCCTATTTGTTACAAAATTATTGACTTGGCTGGAATAAGTAATTGTATTGAACTTATTGTATGATAGTGACTTTCCAGATCTGTCCAAAACTTACTCTAGGAGCTATGAATGAACTATAGAATAAAAACGAGAAGACAATGTACGTTATCTACCACACTGAAGATTAAATGGGTAGTCCATAAAGACTCTTAGAAAATGAAATATTAATATTCCGAGAAAGCGGAAGGTTGTAGGAATAATGTAATAACAAATCTAAAAATATTATGGTTTGAAAATTAAAACTGCTATCAAAATCGTACAATTTTTGGAGAGCATAGAAGAAATTACTGATTACCTGTTTTTTCCGGTTAGTCCTAGTGGCAGCTGAACAACACTTAATTTGAAAGCTGTTTAGCTACCATGTCCAAAGACGTATTAAAGTCATGGGAGGTAGTATTTAAAAAGCCCATCGCATATTGACTGAAGGTTTTGATGCTATTCACAAACAATTTACTGAACTTCTGAATGACATATACGATACTTCTGTCGAGCACGAACAATCGTTTACGAATAACAATGGTCATTACAAAACTTGTTCAGACATCTTTAGCTCGAAACTGCCAGGTTTAACAGAAATAGGGCGAAACTAACCACATTACAACGTTTAATATCCACTACTCGACAACGTGGTTATTTTCTTGTTGGTATCAAAGGGAACTCGAATGGCTTTAAACCAATTCGGTTGACGCTACATAAAAGTGATTTTGTCTCTGGGATCATATGGGGCATCATATATGTACACACATGCTTGAGCGTCTTGATTATTTACAACAATTCACACATATGATCTTTCTAATTTTGTATTGTTTTGCATATTGATAGTGTTAAGTGAAAGATCACATATAACCATGTATTAAGGCCTAATTTAGTGCGAATTAAGCGGTTTATGTTTTCATCACAGCAAAATGATAGCATCATGAATCAACATATATCTGTAAAACCTTTAGGACACAGCGCATTTACTATCTTATTTTTCTAATGACTGAATATTATGCATATTTTATTGCAAAAGTCTTAACTGTACAGACTACAAAGGTCTGAATTTTCTGGAAATATTGATGCTCATAAGGCACTCAAAACGAAGATTTTCGTGATTTTAATTAACTTCTTATTAGAAAGCTGTTAACTGTTGTGCTGAATCTGGTATTTTTTACGTTTGTAGAAAATTCATCCCGATTGACTACTCAAATGATTTCCTACTCACTTTGTCCCATCTTGAGGTTTCAAGATGGTAATATAGGAGTCTGTGTAGGAGAGATGCTCAAAATATTTTTACCTCAAGACAGAAGCGGTCCGGTTACTTTCTTCTAGAACCTATTTCATAATTTATTGTGACCATATGTAAATAGTCATAAAGGTTTACTTTTTCGGTAAAAGCGGTCATTATCTATGAAAACACTTCGGCTGAAATTTACTTGTCTTTCAAATGACTTGTAGTGCTTAGAATTTATTTGGGTGCTATGTTGCGTAAGAAAGACTAAGAGCTTCGCAGTTTGGAGACATTGATCCGCGTTCTGAGTGGCTTGTTCATATTTTGTTTTGCAGACATGTTAAAGGACACCTAATTCCGCCCAGCGTGGTCAACTATCGCGCCAACGTTTGGGCGTTGAGAGATCTCGAGTGTACTCATATATTAGCTACCAACGCTTGTGGTAGTCTACAGGAGGACTTAGTACCTCGAGATTTCTTTGTTCTCAATCAGTTTTTGGATAAAACTTGGGGTCGTGAAAATACGTTTTATGGAAGTAAACCTGATTCATTGAAAGGAGTCTTACATATGCCAATGGCAGAACCATTTTGTGAAAAAACACGTCAGGTTAGATATTAAGCTAGTTTTCTATCGCTTGACTTAATAATTAGGGAAGTATGTAAAGCTTTTTTACTTAACTCTATTTACTTAAAGGTGTTTGATGTATAATTGTTATGACACTTACGTATACTTTGACACTAGATCTTACAACTGTTCAACCTAGTTTGGTTTGTTTCTATAAGTACTTTCGAGTATTTACATTTTATGTTGTTTTTCGCCCATAGTTTGTAGCTCATCCGTTCAAATTAAAAAATATGAACTGCCTCTAAAACGTTTTGAAGAGAATTCATTCCGAATAATTAACAGTCACGTTAACTACACGATATTTTGTGTTCCTAGGAAATGTTTACATTTTTTAAATTGTGTCATATTAGTGTCTACTGATCCCATTGAGTACTATTTTATGAAGGGTAATGTCTGTCACTTTGTTTTATTGATGGTTTGTGGATGTTATCTAGTATTACTTGTTAGGCAGTTCTAAAATTGTAGTCCTTCAAAAACACAAAAGAATATCTGAGAAGCATCTTTTGGCCAATTGACTTTCAAATATTATGACCATACTAAGAATAGCTCGAATACACACCACAATGTCCTTTTGATGGCCAGCAAATTCAAATGATCATTCTGTAGTTTTGAAGTTAGCTAATAAATTGTACATATATATGTATGAAAATATTAGTCTTGTTTATACTGTCAAAAATGTCATCAATTTTCATGTGTTGGCAGATGAATTGGAAATGTTTAAAATGGAATATAAACAAACCATTAGTCCACTGTGTACTGAAGTGTGCATTTTCTAATGACCAGGACTTCTATAAACCTAAGAATGAGCCACTTACAGTTGTTTGAAGGCCAACTCCATGGTCTTTTTTCAATCATATACCTTGATATCAAGTGGGACACCGTTGTCTGCCGCTGCGCCTAACTATTCTTGTTATATTGTCTAACTCCGAAGATATTTCTGGGCATCTTGCTTTGTTACTAATTTGAGAGCTGAATTACTTCTCCATCTCACTACATTTTCAAGATTTACAAAGTGAATAATTATTTCAGTTGTTAGTTAACCTTATTATTTATTTAGCAGTGATTTTACTTTCATCTCTTGATCTTACTAATCTCAAACTGATTGACTGTAGTATTACTGAGTGAAATTTCTGAGTGTTATAACACGGTCGAATGAAATATGTATGTTTGAGTACGAGAATAAAATTTCGTACACAGTTTGCCTTTCAAACTGTATTAATATAGTGATTTTGCATGCTCTTGTCAGCCAGTCAATCAGTCAGTAACAACTTAGAACTTCGTACGTACGTATATCAATTCGAGTTGCCATACCACATTAGCACAGAGATGCAGTTGTCGATTCAAATCCCGTAGTGGTAGTGGCGGTATGAGTATAAGCAGTAATCAAAAAGATTAGGGTTTGAAGATGTAATTCAATGAGTATAATACAGTGAAATAAATTTGGAAAGAGGAAAAAAGGGACATGAAGGATTCAGAAGATCAGAATTTGGGAGAACACAAAGAGTCTCGACCGTTCTTGCTACCTTGACTTGGTGGTCATGCTTGCCTATCGTGATGACGCAACCGAGCTATACTGGCTGAAACAACTGTTCTTCAAGGTCCTACCATGTCAGACAGGTCGGTTGAAGAGCGGTAAGACTAAAAGCAGCAAGTCCAAGGTCCGAAGGCGAAGTCGTACTGCTGACTGTACAGAGGTGTGACAGCAGTAAGGTGTTTCCTTCAGACAACCAGCATGACAGCGATGCTGCCTTCCCACAAGGAGGGGTGGGGTTAGAAGCGGTCGACCCTAGAAATGCACACCTCGCCTTATCCCACGGATATCCGTCTCCGGTGGTAAGGTCCCAAAAAGTACGGAGCTAACACAACAATTACCCATAAAAAGGTCGTGTGTGACCGACCTCAAACAGTTGTCCCTTGGGCACTGCTGTCACGCTCCCAGGTCACTAAGACCACCTCTAATCCAGTTTCCTTTTCAGGTACCTCCAGAAGAACCCTTCCACGGTGTGGGCAACCGGGGAGTGATAACCGCCCTCATACTTCTAACAGCACTCAAGACCACTGTATTCCTAATCAACCTCCTTCTTCACTTCCTATTACTCCTCCTACATCGACTCTCACCTCTAAACTTCCTTTTTCGGCTTCGTCCTCAAATGTCACGATAGCCAACGATTCTGGTGCTCAAAACACTGTCCCAGGTCTGCTAAAACCTCACTCCAAACTACACATTGGAACCTTCAACGTACGCACCCTATGTCAAATCGGTCAACAGGCTTCCCTGGCTAGAACCCTAGAATCTCGTACCATTGATGTATGCTGTGTCTCTGAAACACGCATACAGGATCCCAGTGTGGTCATTCACTTGACCTCACCTCGGCAACACGGAGAGCCAACGAGATACTCCCTCCGTGTATCTGGTGACGTGATGGCCAGCTCTCGTGGACTGGCAGGAGTAGGGATAGCACTAAGCATGAGGCGGAACAAGCATTGTCAGAGTGGATCCCCGTTAACAGTCGTTTATGTACTGTTCGGCTAAACGGCTACGTAAGAACTCGGAAGGATAGGGACACACGTCGTTGCTTTTTTGTCGTTTCTGCCTACGCTCCCACCGACTGCAGCTCATATAATGTGAAAGATGAATTTTACAGAAAGCTTTCTGAACTTCTTCAGAAAGCTAAACGCTCAGACATAGTACTCGTAGCAGGTGACTTTAGTGCTCAGATAGGTAGTTTAAACCAAACAGACAGGCATTTAGGTGGATATTTTAGTATTAAGACACAGCGAACAGATAATGGTGATCGTCTGCTGCAACTGTGCTCAAACAATCGTTTATTTTTAGCAAACACGAATTTTAAGCATAAGGAGAGACATCGTCTAACATGGCGACCCCCTACACCAAACCAACGATGGACTCAAATAGATTCACAACCTCATCGACTGAGATGGTTGGGCCACGTGTTACGTATGCCCGAACACCGATTACCACGACGTGCAATACTAACCGGTGCTGGGAATGGTTGGAAGAAAGTTAGGGGCGGCCAAACCAAAACGTGGCATCAGTGCTTGAAGTCGCAAACTTCTGGTCTGAGCCATGTTGGTAGATGCAGACTACTTGGTTGGGGTCCGCGTGACTATCGTAACCAATGGTTAGAGACTCTTGGTGACATGGACCAGAATCGATCACAATAACGTCGGTGTATACACTCTCTATCTTCCCTTAAACTAAGATTAAAATCGCTTCATATCTTTCTTTCTACGAACTAATTCTTTCTTCTTGTACTATATCTCTATATGCAATCTTTCTCTTATATATTACCACCTCTGAATTAACCACTTTTATAAATCCGGTGTTCACCTTGTGTTAATGTGGTTTGGCAACTTAGACCGATGCATAAATGTGTCTGGTCCTACGCTGTAGCTGACTGACTGAGAACACAAAGAGTGGATGCACCAGCGCCATTGCAAACGATTTTGAGCCATGTCATTCAAGGTCTCTAGCCATCGGTTGCTATCATCTCGCGGTCTTCAACCAGAAAGTCTACACCTACCAACATGACTCAGTCCATTTGTCAGTGACTTCATGGATTTATGCCATGTTTTGGTCTGGCCACCCCTAGCTTTCTCCCAACCTACTCCTATACCATTGAACATCGCACGTCGAGGCAGTCGATGGTTGGGCATACGTAACGCGTGTCCCAACCATCTGAACTGATGAATTTTCACTACTTCATCAATCGATTTGCCATCCTTATCTAGTACCCGTTTTCTAACAACTGCGTTACTTATTCGATGGTCCCAGGATATACGAGCAATGTTTCGAGGACACCTATGATCAAATAATAGTAACCTACGAATGTCTTCTACTCTTACTGTTCATGTTTCACTGTCATAAAGTAGGACGGAACGAACTGCTGTGCAGTAAACCCGTCCTTTGGTTGATAAACAGATATCTCGCCTACACCATAAATAACGCAAGTTGGCAAGAACTAGTCGAGCCTTCTGTATCCGTGCTGAAATTTTGTCACACACACCAGACCACAAGGACTGATGAGACTTCTGAGATAAGTGAAGCGGTCGACACGCTCAACTACTTCACTTCCTATCATTAGTTGGGGCGTCGATGCAACCCAATCCTGAAGAAACATTTTGCATTTCGAGGGGAGAATCGCATGCCGAACATGGTTGGATTGTTGCTTATAGTGGTCAGAAGACAGCATTTTGTCAGTGTCTTCACCAAGTAGAACTGTGTCATCGACATATTCTAAGTCAACAAGTGAATCTCCCGGTAAAAGTTCAACTCCTGGAAATTTAGATGGAGAAAATGTTGTCTCTGAAAGCACGTCAACGACAAAGTCATACAAGAATAGAGAGAGTGGACAGTCCTGACGAACACTACTGGAGGTAATCAATTCTGATGACAGTTCGTCATAAGCTCTCACTCGGCCAGTTGTGTTTGAGTAGAGAGCCTTTAAAAGGTTAATGTACTTCTTTGGTACTCCTTACAGTGACAAACACTGTCACAGAACCTCACGATCAACAGAGTCATATGCCGCCTTGAGGTTGAGAAATATTACTATTGTGGGGCGTCTGAATGTGTGTCTATGTTCTAGGACCTGACGTGGTGTGAATATCTTGTCTATACAACCACATCCAGGTTGAAAATCAGTCTGGTTTTCTCTAGTCTGCTCTTCGCGAGGTTTAGTTAGGCGTCGAAGTATTATTGAAGCTAATATTTTAGACACTGTGTTAGTCAAACTGATTCCTCTGTGATTGTCACAAGAGGACTTTTGTCCTTTCTTATAGACTGGCACAATCAGTGATTGAGACCAGTCAGATGGGATTACGTTCAGTTCCTAAATTCTGCCTAAGACCTCAGTCAATCTCACTGCTAATACTGAACCACTATCCTTAAAAACCTCAGGAGTAAACCTGTCAGGGCCTGCTGCTCTCCCTCGTTTCAGGTTTCCTATAGCTCTTTCAACTTCGTAAAGAGTTGGAGGACTTACATTAACTTGCCATTCAGGTAGACTGGTGATCGTGGGAAACCGAAGTGTGGCTGAAGGCCAGTTGAACTGATCCCCAAAGTGTTCTGCCCATCAATCCAATCTCCTGGATTGAGAATGTATAATATGTCAATCTTCCTCTGAGATTGTTTCGCTAACAGTCGGTTTCCTAATACAGGTTTCCTTAACAAGTTTGAACAGTTGTCTGCTGTTACTTATTGCCGCTGCCTTTCCCATCTCTTGCTTTCGCTACCCACCACTGTTCACGATCATTGCATAGGCTTCTTGTCAGCTTGCGCTTAAGCTGACTCTGTTCTTCGTTATGTTCAGAGCCATATAGGATGAGTTGTCGAGCATCTATCAGTGCGGTAGATGCTGCTGAGATTCAGTGTTTCTCCCTAACCTTGTGGTTAATCGTACCAGCAGGTATCACTGCTGTTTCCACAGCTTTTCGAATATCATTCCACGTTGTTTCGGGTTATGCATCACAAATTGCTATCTAACTGTTTTTTCTAGTTGTTCCTGAAATACACTCTTAGCTTGGCTATCAATAAGTAGGACCCTACGAGGCTTCCTTGCAGCGTCTTTCCCACGTCCAGTAAGACGCAAGCAAATACGCGCTCGCACTAGAGCATGATCTGAATCTAAGCATGTACTCCAGAACGAGCGACAGTCTTCTATCGAGCCCCTCCATCGATAGCTGATAGCGATGTGATCTATTTGGGTCCAACGTTGGGACGAATTCGGTGTTCGCTCTGTCGAAAGATGTTTTTCCTTATGCTTAAATATATTATTTGCAAGAAACAGGCGGTTATCTGAGCATAGCTGCAACACACGGTCGCCATTATTTGTTCTTTGAGCCACGATACTATAAGATCCACCAAGGTGTCTTTCCCCTTCTCCTAGTTTACCTACTTGAGCATTAGAGTCACCAGCCGATATCACTACATCAGAACGCCTAGTTTTTCGGAGGAGGTCGAAAAGCTTTCTGTAAAACTCATCTTTTACATCATCTAAGCTGCAGTCAGTGGGAGAGTAGGCAGAGACGACGGAGAGGCAACGACGAGTGTCGCTATCTTTCCGAGTCCTCACTGTTCCGTTTAGTCGGTCAGCGCACAAACGACTGTCTACTGGGATGCAGTCTAAGAGAGCTAGTTCTGTTCTGGGACTCAGTGCTATACTTACGCCGGCGAGGCCACAGGAAGCAGCATCAGGGCTTCCAGATACACGAAGCATGAATCTAGGTGGTTCTTTGTTTTGATATGGTGATGTCAAATGAATGACACTACTCGGATCCTGTATGCGCGTTTTGGAGACGCAGCACACATGGATAGCGCGAGATTCTAAAGTCGTAACTAAGGAAGCCTATTGTCCTATTTGTCACAGTGTTTGAACGTTGAAAGCTCTTACATGTAGTTTGGAGTGTGGTTTTAGGAGATCAGGAATAACGTTCTGCGTACTCGAATCATTTGTACCTGCGGTGCGAGGTGACGTGAGAAGGGTTATTAGGATGTGTGGGGAGGATTTGAATGTGACCAACTTGGTCTCTTGTGCTGTTACGGGTATGAGGGCTGATATCACTTCCCGGCTGCCTACACCGTGGAAAGGTATTTCTTGAGGAACCTGAAAAGGAAATCGGATTAGTGATGGTCTTGACGAGCTGGAAGCGTGACCGCAGAGCCCAAAGGACAACCTGAGGGCGGTCGCGCACGGCCATATCGTGGGTGTTTTTTTATTGTATTAGCTCCGTTCTTTAAAGGGTCTTATTGCCGGAGACGGAAATCCGTGAGTTAAGGTGAGGTGTGGCACTTTTAGAGTGGACCTTTTCTAACCCCTTCCTTCCTTGTGAGATGGCAGCATCACTGCATATACTGGTTATTCGAGGGAAACACCTTATTGCTGTCACACCCCTCTACAGTCAGCAGTACGACTTCGCCCTCAGACCTTGAGTTACTGCTTTTAGTCTAACGGTTCTCCAATCGACCTGCCTAGCATGATAGAACCTGCAGGAACATATGTTTCAGCCAATATAGCTCGGTTGGGTCATCACGATAGGCAATCCCGACCATCACGTCAAGGTAACAGCTACTGTCGGTTTGCATACTCTTGAGTGCTTTCAATTCAATTTTTAATTTACATTTCATTATGAAACCTGTTTAAATACCTTTTTATTCCATAGCTAACACCAAGAACTGATTTTGGTTGAACATTGAAGGCTGGGAAGCGCTAGACAGACGTTTCGTCTTAATATGTTATAAGTCAGCAGTTCTTATCCACGACCCCATCATGGGTCGAACCCAGGACTTCCAGTTGTTGTAGTGAGCACTTGGCATTTAGACCACTGACCCGACATCCAATAGTTTACATGTTTAAATTCGATCTTAAAACGATATTGGCCAACCACCTAGTTTTATTAGTAGGTAACTGTTGTACACTTGAAGTAGTTGATCTTCAATAGTCACAACTTCTCACTTCTCACTTAGTCAGTGGTGGGCACATTATTATTATTGTTATATAGTGAGGTTTTGACGTTTGTTAAATTCCATAGTTGACATCGTTGATTGAATGTTGACGCTTAAAATAAATTAATGTACAAAATGTTTTGTTAACAAGGCGCATTAACTATGCCAGATACATTCTAGTTTCTTGCAGTTGTTAATTATCAAATGAGTTGGAAGTTTGTGTATTGTTTTGCTTAATAAATGTTTTAAAGCTCCTACAATATAATGATGCATCGGTAAACAGTTGGTCTCCATTATCTACTTAATCATTGATGAATGATCATGAAAATGTAAAGGAAAAGTTAAACACTGAAGACGTTTTTGCTTGAATTCTCTTTTTTATAGTTTAATAGTAACTTGTTCATATGTCTCGTACATTTTCAGATGTTAATCCAGGCGGCCAAAAATAAATCAATAAATGTTTATGACAAAAAAACTATGGATAAATCCGCCTGTATTCATCCATGTGTACATACTGAAGGTTCTGCAGTAACTATCAATGGTCCACGTTTTTCAACTCGTTGCGAATCATTCGTTCATAAGGCAATGGGATTGGATATAGTTAACATGACATTAGTTCCTGAAGTTTCATTGGCTCGTGAAGCTGGTTTAAGTTATGCTTCTATAGCAATTGTTACAGATTTTGATTGTTGGAAAGCAGATGAGGAACATGTGAGAAAGTTATACTTACTGGCTACTTTTTTATAGTAATTTATAGATACACACATAAGGATGTCCAATTATTTTGTTATGCTTCCAGTATGAGGTTGTGAATTTCAATGAAGTTGTGATTGTATTCGTCTTTAAATTTGAGGATTTTCATGCATTGTTAGACTTTTTATTTCTAGGAATTCCTAAAGTAAAGTATAATGGTTATTAATTGTTGGTTAATATGCCGGGCTACTTTCATTTATAGTTGTTCATAATCGATAGTAAAAAATCTAGGGAGTTTTGTGACTTAGTAATTAAAGCACTCAGTTTTTTCAACCAGTAGATTTCAGATTCGAATCCAACTCGACTTATTTCTGTCTGGTCAGTTAGGTAGTATTATTATTCCTTCCACAGAATAGTGTGACTCAAATCCGAGTATGTAACCCTTTACTTAATATACGAGGCACATTATAGTTCTTATTGTTGCTTAACCAACCAAACACCAATCTTTTCACCAAATAGATGGATAATTAGTTGGTAGTAGAGTTTAATTTCTGATAGAAATTGCGTGACATGAATAGCTGGTTTCTTTTTGACTGGAATCATTGTCATTCATGTTTCCTGTTTGATTGATGGATAATAATTTAAGCATAGAATTAGACTACAACGGTGGGAATATTAACTGAATCTGTTATAACAACGCCTTTTATTCATTCTATGTTACTGATCGTTTGAATAATCAAATGATGTTTTATGACAGATATATAGTCATATTGCATTGTACTAATGAAACTTTAAACAGCTAAAAGCTGAATAATTATTACAGGTATTCGAATACCTAGGATCTGATTTCTAGTTCATTTCACTGAATAGAATAAAGTTATTACTTTTAGTAAATTATGTTCTCCCAAGGGTAACATTGGATACAGTCTTTTATGCAATCGATAATTAAACAAAACTAGGAAAGAAAATTATCCGGCACTCAAATAATTCACATTCACTGATGGATGACCTTAATTTCCGACCAACATAAAACCTCTATAACCATCTAAAGGTTAGTTTTACTGAATATGAAACATAAATCATTTCTCGGTCTACATGTATATTATTAATTTTCCACAGAATGCTCAATTTATTTGAAACTATCAAGTTCAAACTTGGCATTGATACCAACAAACTCATTTTTGATGTATTATTTCATTTTTACCAGGTCTGTGTTGATATGGTTTTGGAACAGTTTCGTAAAAGTATTGTTCACGTTAGAGAAATTCTATTAGAGGCTGTGGCATTGATTGGTGCTGAAGACTGGACAAAAACCATTGAAGCAAATAAGGTATTTTGATTTTCTCTCACAGACTTGTCTTTTTTATGACACTTGACTAGATATTAGTGACACTTCATTTGCTATCACAATGTTAAACAATTTACCTAATTTTGTTTGTCTAAAAATTCTGAAAAGTATGTTTTGAACTATTCAATATTACCATATAAGATTCAGTCAGTATCATCCTCCAGACACGAACTCAATACACACTGACAGAATTTGAACACTTTATGTCTGTTAAATTAAGCTGTCTATACAAAGGCGATAAATAACCGTAAAATGTATTTGCATCAATAAAAAACTGTCATGTAATTAAAATGCCTTGAGTGTGAATATACTATTAACTAAAACCATTGTTAATATTTGATAGTCAACCTTTGTCAACACACAGTTATATAAATTCGAAAGTGTAAGATACAGTTTGAGAACATGTCGGATAAGGTGTTATCTATTTTAGTTGTTGTTGTTTTCTCATTTAAACTTGTATTAATTATCTGTTATTGGGGGTCGACAAACAGATATTATGTTTAACGTATGTGATACCGTCATGAAACTACGCTTATTTGAAGTAGAAGTTATCTGTGGTCATTCCATCATGGAATCGTTTAAGAACTAACAATTTGTTGCAGTAGTCTTGTTATCAAGGTTCAGAGAGTAGTCTCCTTAAAACGCTGTCCACCAATTCTACAAACAAAACACTCCGTTATTATCTCAAGATTGTCTTATCTAATTCATTGACCAAGTACATGTTCATGTACCCGGTTTTGGACCAAACTGTTTATAAGGTCTAGTAACACCAATTATTCGAAAGTTTGAGTGTGCTTCATTGGCTTATTAATTGAAGCGATCATCTTTCAACCAGTGTATCTCAAATCTCGACGTCACTGCATCTAGTTTAGTTTGACTAACTGGATTGTATCACTAGGTCTGATGTAAATATGATGTGGCTCATAGTAGTAATATTACTAATTGCATCAATAAAGTTTCAAAACATAATTAAAGATTGAGTTCGCTTAGTATGATTTAAAGAATGAGTTTCAGCTTACCAAGTTGAATTTAATGTACTGATTCTAGTTATTGTTTGGTAAATCGGAGAGGGGTTCAATCATTAATGAACTATTAGTGTTGGTTCAATGTACTGTTATTCTCAGTCAACACAAAAATAGGTATATTTTACATTCATTTAGGTTATAAACAGTTTGAAAGAGAATTTTATTTTTTCTTTATCAATAAACAATAACAAAACCTGGTACCTGACAAATAAAAGGAATCTGTAGTAATTCAATAACTACCAGGGATTATTATGCAATCCAATTTTCAGTTAAAATATGTTACGTTCCGTACTTCATTATTTTAAGCAACTTAACCACATATATGTATTGAATGCTCTAATGAACTATGTCACACTGAAGTAATTTCCAGCATTCATTAGCACCTTTCACTTAATGAATCATATAATAATTTGTTTTCTAATTGAGTCTTTTTATTTACAAGCTTTGCTTTTTAATTCTCGTTTTACAGGCGCTAGTGTTGAGCTCGCGTCAAGACTTGCTTCATCAAGAAAGTAAAAGCAAATAAATATGAGGATAATCGGAATTTATTGTCTGTGAACATGAACAAATGAAGTTTAATTGACTATTTTACAAATAAAGATTTCAAAGAATGTTCTTATTTAATTGACAGTAATTATGAAATTGAATATTTTTCATGACATGTGTTTTCTACTTTTAATTGGTTGTTTTGTTAGAATTCTATGAAATTTGTATTTGAAAATAAAACTTAAAACAATAAAATGAGCAAGCATTTCCTTTTTTTTAATTCGGTTCAGTGTAAACAGTTAGAAGTGAATTCAATCAGGCACACAGTCATGAGTAATGTAGAATCTGGCACATTCGTTTATAATCGGTTCAAAATGTTTCTATACGCTACGTTTATCAAAACTGTGATATATACGTGATGCAATACATGAAATCGAGTTTGAAATGCATTCTGGAGATTGTTCATAACTGATACCATCTGATGTCGAGGACTAAAATCTGAAGACGAACACAAGTGACAGCTCAAAAGAACTTAAATCAAGTTATACCCCTGTTTCTCCAGGTAAATCTCACTAAGATAGTCTATGAACAACTTTCTAGACTTATCATACGGAAGAAGTATTTAATTTCCGGGGTATTCAAGATCATATTTCAGTAGTAATAATAAAATGGCCAACCAACTTAATATTTTGAAATCAACTTTTAGTTAGAGTTTTCAATTGAGGAGGTCCGTGGTTTGGACTCAGGTTCAGTTATGTATTTCCTCACAAAGTTACTATGGCATCCATTTTGTTGTGGCGTCGCCCTTAGCATGTCTAGTTCTTCTATATTATTCTAATAGTATAGTCACTAGATTTCATCACTCAGATATTTAAATAGATTAATTTTATGTTGCTGGGTGTGAAGCACGTCCATCGATTGTTTTGACATGTGAAGAATAAGATACCGTTCAATGAAATCCGTCTCTCTAATAAATCGTATGATCTATGCAGTAAGAATGTACTGAGTAAAGAAACTTGGACGGAACTGTATATTCACTGACTTACGCTTGTTACTCCCAATGTAGCTATGGGCCGCCGACCCACTCTGTCCTGGGCATTCCTTTCTAGTTCTATCCAATTTTTGTTCATTCTTCTTATGTCTGTCTCCATTTCTCGGTTTAATGTGTTCTTTGGTCTTCCTCTCCTCCTTTGGCCATGAGGATTCCAAGTGAGGGCTCGTCTCGTGACGCAGTTGGGTGCTTTCCTCAATGTGTGTCCTATCCACTTGCAGTGCTTCTTCCTGATTTCTCCTCGTCTGGGATCTGCTTTGTTCTCTCCCGCAGTATTTTGTTACTGATAGTGTCTGGCCAACGTTTCTGGAGTATTGTGGTGTAGAAAACTGTTAATAAGCACTTGTATCTTCTGGATGATGACTTTCGTAGTTCTCCATTTTTCCGCCTCATACAGTAGAACTGTCTTGACATTTGTATTTAAAATTCTGACTTTTGTGTTGGTTGACCGACAGTTGTTTTGAATTCCAGATGTTCTTCAGTTGTAAATATGCTGCTATTGCCTTTCCGATCCCCGCGCCTTCACATTTGCATCAGATCCGCCGTGCTCATCAATGATGCTGCCCAAATATGTAAAGGTTTTTACATCTTCCAAATCTTCTCCGTCAATTGTGATTGGATTGGTGCATGCTGTGTTGTATCGGAGAATCTTGCTTTTCCCTTTGTGTATGTTGAGACCTAATGCTGCTGAGGCTGCTGCTACACTGGTCGTCTTCAGCATTTGTTGTTGCGTGTGCTATAGAAGAGCTAGATCATCTGAGATGTCTAGATCGTACAACTGCACCCAGCTGTCCACTGTATTTCATACTTCCTTTCAGATCTTGACGTCTTCATGATACAGTCGATCACCAGGAGAAAGAAAGAGTGAGAGTAAGTTACTTTGCCTGACACCGGTTTTTACTTCGAATGAGTCTGTGGGCTGTCCTCCATGTACAATTTCGCAGTTTAATCCATCATAGGGATTCCGTATTATATTGGCCATCTTCTCAGGCATGCTCCTCTCCTCTTGCTTGTTTACTTCTGTGTATTCAGCTTGTGTCTTGGTTTTCTCTGCTCTTGTTCGGCTGGTGTTGATTGCTGCCCTCTTGTTCCTCCTTTCTTTAATCATATCCAGTGTATCAACAGTGATCCATTCCCTGTGATGGTGCTTCTAGTGGCCCAGAACCTCATGACATGTTGAAGCGATTGCTTCTTTGATCCCCTTCCCAGTTGCTCTCCATAGTAGTTCCCTCTTCATTGAATATATCGTGAAAGGCCTGGAACCTATTACCGTGGGCTATCATGAGTTTGTTAAGTTATCCAGTATCCCGAAGAAAGGCGTAGTGAGTTTTTGTGATGTTGTCCGCCTCGTCGTCAAGTGCTTCTCGAGTTTCGATTTCATCTTGGCGACCAGCAAGTGATCTGAGGCTGTATCAGCCCCTCTTTTGGTTCTCACATCCTCTATCGTCCTCCTGAAATTTTTGTTGATGCAGATATGGTCGATTTTGTTTCGTGTAGTGTGATCCGGTGAATTCCATGTGGTTTTGTGTATGTGTTTATGTGGCAATATAGTGGCGTCTATGACGAATTTATTGAAAACACATAGGTTTGCAAATCTCTCACCAATTTTGTTTCTTTCTCCCAGTTCATGTCGTTCCATGATATCTTCATATCCGATGTTGTCCATTTCAACCCGAGCATTCAGGTCTCCCACCAGAGTAGTCGATTCCTTTGTTGGGCAGTTCTGGACGATTTACTGCAGTCTATTGTAGAACTAATCCTTAACGTCCTGATTGTAGTCGTTGGTAGGCGAATTGCATTGAATAGTGATCATTGTAATGCCCTCATTCTTTGTTTTGAAAGAGGCTTTGATGATCCTTGGTCCATGAGATTCCCATTCTATAAGTGCATTTTGTGCTTGTTTGGATAGCATCAATGCAACTCCTTGTGTATGTGGAGCATTTTCTTCTTCATGGCCGAAAATAACAGAAGCTCCCCTGAAGCTAGTCGTTGTTGTCCACCCTGCGTCCAATGTGTTTCACGGATTCCAAGCACCTCCAGATCGTATCTCTTTATTTCTGCACCGATTCGGAAGACTCTCCCGGTCTCTCACATTGTACGAGCATTCCATATACCTAAATTAATGTTTGCTCTGGTTGTCAGAAGAGGCATCAGCTTCGTGACTTCCGAAGGAACTCGACTTTCATCGTGAGGCGTCATAACCCTTCTAAATGAAGGCCATCTAACTCCCAGGGCAGAGTTTAAATGGTTTGGATTATTTTTTCTGAGTAGCGCTTTAGCGAGATAGTTTTCTACGGGCTAGGGTCGCTAACTCCATACCCGACCCTCTCCTTTATCTGGGCTTGAGACCTGCAGTAGCCCCAGCGGGGCTCCAGGCGGAGTTGTATATTCACTTTCATGGCTTTGTATCGATTTAGTCA